CAGGCCGGGATTGATTTTTATTTTTAAAAGCTGTGATATCGGGAAGCAAAAGCGCTCTGCAGGGACGCTGTGTTTTATCGGATCCCGTTTTACATGGGCGAGCAGGGTGTGCGGAGGCCGCGGCTCGGGCCCCGCGCTCCGCGGGCGCTGCTCACCGCTGCCCGGCCTCTCTCCGCAGGTGTTTCGGGACCAAGTGCGCGGGCTGTGCCCAGGGCATCTCCCCCAGCGACCTGGTCCGCAGGGCGCGGAGCAAAGTGTTCCACTTGAACTGTTTTACGTGTATGATGTGTAACAAGCAACTCTCCACCGGCGAGGAGCTCTACATCATAGATGAGAACAAGTTTGTCTGCAAAGAAGATTACCTAAATAACAGCAATACTGCCAAAGAAAACAGCCTGCATTCAGGTGAGGGAGCGCGGCCGGGGCGATGAGGGCGGGGATGCGCTCAGCGCCGGCTGCTCCTTGGGATGAGACGCTCCTTTCGTTCTTCCTCCTTTCTTCTCTTCTTTCTCCTCTCCCTCCTTTCGCCCTTCTCCTCTCTCTTCTCCCTTCACTCTCCCATCCCTTTCTTTTCCTCTCCTTCTTGTCTCCCATTTTATTTTTCTTCTTCCCTTTTTCCTCTCCCTTCTTTCTCTTCTCCCCCGGTCCTACCGCGGCCCGTCCCTCGCGGTCGGTATTTTCCCCCACGGGAGCTTGACCCGGGTTTGTTGTTCCCCAGCCACCACCGGCAGTGACCCCAGCCTGTCCCCCGACTCTCAAGACCCCTCTCAGGACGACGCCAAGGATTCGGAAAGCGCCAACGTGTCCGACAAGGAGACGGGGAGCAACGAAAACGACGACCAGAACCTGGGGGCCAAGCGGCGGGGACCCCGCACCACCATCAAAGCCAAACAGCTAGAGACTCTGAAAGCCGCCTTCGCGGCCACCCCAAAACCCACCCGGCACATCAGGGAGCAGCTGGCACAGGAGACCGGCCTCAACATGCGGGTCATCCAGGTACCGCCTCCGGGCACCGGGCACGGCTCCGGGGGATGCGGGGGAGAGGAGGGGACGGTGCCCGGCACTCTCCGCACTGCGGGGCCCGGGGAAGCCCCGGCAGCCTTTGAAATCGTTATTACCGAGGCGTTCCCGGGGCTTCCCGGGGCTTCCCGGGGCTTCCCGGTTGCCCAGCCCCGGCCGTTCGGCGGAGACAGAGCCGCGGGTTTATTCGCAAAAGTCCTAAAGAAGCTGCAAACAGTATCGAAATTAATAACCAGAAATGTGAGGGGTTAATGGGTAAATAAGAATGACAACGCGCTGGAATTATTAAAAGGTTTATAAACCCGCAGCGCCGGGGTAATGGGGGGTTAAAGGACCATTACAGACGAGGTTAGATTGGAGAGGCTCAGTGTGAGGGTAATTAGCAGTAATCTTGTCAGAGTAATAAGAATTAACTCAATCATTCTTGACCCGCAGTCGGTGGGGAGCGGGGCCGCCGTCACGCGTGGGTTCGGCCGCGCTTGGAGCGCGACTCGGGGCACATCGGGCAAGAGAGAGCGGGAAAGAGGAAAAGCGCAGCCCCGGGATGGAGATGGGGATGGAGATGGGGATGGAGGGGAAGGGGGGAGCGGGGCGGCGGAGGCGCGTCTCGGGCTCCCGGGAGCGGGACCCGAGG